CCTGCATCACTTCCCACTACACACTGCATGTACTGGCCATGCAGCTGCACTGCTGCAAGCCACGGTCCTGTCACCTCATGAGCTGAGCAGAGACAAGCTCAATTGGCAGTTTGATAAGAGAGCTCTGCACACTCAGGTGGGGTTGTTGATTCAGTACTAGGTGGTCTTCCCCCATGCTGCAGGGAGGTCCTGTGAGGTGTCATTTGCCTGCTTGCGAATGACAACCTTGCGTGTTAGAGCTTTGCAAACATCCCCGGTCACGATGGCACAGAAGGAGGTCTGGAAACTCACATCTCAAAGACAAGCCCTGTTCTCCATCCTGCCCCGGAGAAGCGTCCCTTGCAGTGACAGCGAGCAGACCATGCCTGCTGCAGCACACCACTCGCTGGTTTTCCCCTTCCCACCTGGGAGGAGACTGGCAGCACGTGCTCTGCTCCAGCTCTGCCGTGTGCCCTCTCCTTGGCAGAAAGCACACACAATGGAGAAGAGGGCAGAGCCCTCCCTTGGGCAGCAGCTGAACAGGAGGCACTGGCCAGGGAGGGGCAGCTGGGCCAGGCTTTCCAAGCCACTGACTCCAAAACGCTCTGTGGCAACTTTCTGCCCTTGCTGCACGCGTTACCTTGCCCTCCAAACCGGCTGTGACAGCCAGGAGGATGAAGCATCCCATCAGCCAGCCTTTGCCAACAGCTAATTGAGCTGCAAGCGAGGTCTCCTCCCTGGAGCCCTGTCCTGATCCCCTCAGCACTTCAGGAAGGTACAGGAGCAGTCACCAAAAAAGTTGCCGAGCGTTTCAGCCTCTGTCCCCTCTGGCTTTCAAAGGGGGAAATCAAAGGGAAGCGCCGCGCTTTGTTCCGCAGGGGAGCGGCACGAAAGGTGAGCGGCGGCGAGCCCGGCAGAACCGGTCGCTTCAATCGTCCGCCAGCTCACCTTTGAAGTGGTTTTAAAAATCAGGGAGGAGGGGCAGAGACCTGAGTTCAGCTCTTTAACTGCAACTTCACAGACTCTGAGGACGTGGGGGGTAAGAGGCTGCCTTTCCCCCACCAAAAAATAGCGTATCTGTTCAGAGAGACTAGAATACAGCTAATAAAAAAGGCTGCGATGCTCATCAAGTGCATCTGTTGAGTTCTGACGTCCTGAGGAGGCCACAAACAGCTACAACAGCAGCAGCATCTACCTTACGGTACCAACGGAGACACACCAGGCATCTGCAGGTTTAACCAGGCACCCTCACACTGGCCCTGCTCCAGTGCTGGTGGAGCAACCACGTCTCACCAGCTTTCTCTCTGCCTCACATTCCCTCTCCCCTTGCCCATCCATACTGTCGCCACTGCTTCTCTGTAACAGAAAGGACTGTTTTTAACCCCAGCCCATGCGTATCCTGGGATCTTCTTCTATATTACAGTCACAGCATCAGCCACTTGCTGCGGCACGGGGAACTGAAGCAACACTGACACAGCAGGAGTGACACTGTGCCAGGACAAGCCAGGCACCTACCATACACTTCACGCTAGGAAGAGATGGGGAAAAGAATTACTTAATTGGAAATTAATCTCTGTTCTACCACAGGGGAAAATACATATACACACACAGACACGCACACAAAACCCCCACAGCTGATTGTCACAACCAGTATCCACAAGCCCAGAGTCCACACCAGGTCCACTGAGCTTCCCTTTATATGAACACCATCAGCTGGGCAAAGCCAAGACAACAGCAATACCCTCATATCACCAAGGACAGGCAGACGTCCCTCTGTACAAATTCAAAGCTTTCAGGGGCTGTGGAATACAAGAGCCATTTGAACCAGACTTCAGTAAGAATCCTGAGTTGGAAGCAAAGTTATAGACCTCTCCTGTCTTCAGGGGAGAGAGTGAGCTTGCATCCAACATTTGCAGAGAAGGGAGCTAATCCAGTTTCTCTGACTTGCAGAAGACAGCACGTTCATATAAAGCCAGCCTGGCCGAAGATAAGGCTGAGAAGCAATCAAGCACACTCACAGTTATGCCTGGAATCTGAAATGTCTTTTCTCTAGATTTGCAAACAAATCTTAATCTAAAGCACCAGAAGATGGGAATCAACAAGGAAAGAGAACTGTCCCCTGACCCCAACCTTCATCCTTACAACGCTTCCCTGTAGTTCTGCTGGTTACAAGGTGTGTGAGAGGTTTTCAGCAAAAGTATTACACGAGTTGGCTCCTGTGTGGGTAACACTCACCTGAAAAGAGCTGGCTTTGAAGAATCCAGATGTCCTGAGCCAAGACGCCTCCAGCTTGTCACCTCTCTACCTTCTCAGCTTCATTCATGATGCAGATAGAGATGCTGGTGACTTCAGCCTTCTGCATGTGTCAGCAGGTTCTCTTCTGACTTCTGTCTCACCTTCCGAACCTAAAGGGGGACCGAAAATGAGACAGCTTTAGGATACAAGCATGAGCTTCTGTGTGGCACGAGGAATCGGCAGTCTTAGGTTCTGTTTGCCCCAAATTGACTCTATCAGTCTGGTCAAGATCCCTCTCCCTGGGAAAGCAGAGCTCAGGGTTTATGATGCTTACACCTCTGTTTCCAGTTTTGCTCCATTGCATGGAGCAGCAGACCACAGGGCTCATTTCCCTGCTTTACCTGTTTGTGTTACAGCAGCACCTCAAATCTTTACCACTGAGAAGTAAACATTAGTACATGGGGGAATGCTTTCCATCCCTGCAGCCCAGGCAGGAAATATCAGCAGGGTCTTTTCACACCTCATTTTGGGAGGGTGCAAGTACAACTGCTCAGGGCTTCTCGAGGCAGAAAATTGTATTACATTATCTTACAGCCTACCCCTTGCTTTGCTTACCAGCTCCACAGAGAGCTACGGCCTTCTCTGAGGACACTAAAACCTGGGGGAAGATGGGAGAAAGGAAGCTCTTAAAGCTGCTGTCTGCAGCTGTTTCTCATCTCCTTTATTGCTCTGCAGGAGCTTTTGCTGGGGAGCCCCCACCTAACTCTGGAGCAGCTACAGGTGAATCCAATGTGCAAAACACCAGCTCACACGGCCTCTTGTGGCCAAGCCACACACCCTGGTTGTCCCCCTCCAGCTCTGCCAGGGCAAAGCAGCACAGGGAACAGTGTCCTTCCCACAGACGAGTTCCATCCCCAAATATTATTCTGCCTTTTATTCACATCAGTGTGTTGCCCCGCTCGCTTTTCCAAAGCCAGGCTGGCTGAAGAGCAAGCAGGGCAAGACGCTTCACCCATGTGTAAGATCCAGCTCTCGCAGGACTTCTTTAGTCCCCCCAAAATACTCACGTTGTGCCGAGATGATGGACATAGCTGTGCCCAGCCCAGCACTCCTGTGTGCGTTTACTGTCGCAGTACCAAAGGTTATGTGGGTAGGTGAGGCATCAATTCAGGGTGCATGTACATAACCACAGGCTTAATGAATTACTCTGCCTCAGCTGATACCTACACCACTGCGTGAGAGTTTCGCTCCAGACAGAAAGGGGAAAGCAACTTTGTGGTGCGACAGGTCCAGTGATACGTGGTAAATTATTAAACTGTAGTAGCTGGATTGTTTGCAACACATCCCAAGTCAAACAGCAGACTCCAGTTTCAGGAAGGGGAAAGGGTTTGGACTGGGTTTTTGAGGAAAGCAGTCAGCAAGCAGGTCCTGCTCAAGCCTGAGGCATCTGACCGGGAGGGAGCACATCGTCTTCTCCATAAACAACTGAACTTTGTCACACGAGGGTGAGAAAAGCAACGTGACTGGAGTCTTTTGCATCTCACAAAAGCCACTCCATAGTGACTTGACAATCGTGGATTGCCTAACAACGACTAAGCAAACCTCAGTGCAGCAAAAACTATCATAGCTGCTGCATGGGGAGAAGCATCTCACCCTTCTCTTTCCTTACAGAGAAATAACCCAAACAATTCCAAGCCAAACCTTTGCTTAAAAGTGAACTCCCTGACACTTGCACCAGAGATTCTCCCAACATCACAACACTAACGTTACAGCACAATCTTTTCCAGCAATTGCCAACACTGCCTCTTTCTGTCCAACTCCCTGCTACAGACTGGCAGCAAGTCCCTGCTGTACTCCTCAGCATAACCTACATCCTCCTACAAAACGGTCAACATATGTAGAGTCTGAAATCTAATTGCCTGCTGGTACGAAGCCAAGGCTTGGATTTTGGAGTGTAGCTACTCCATTTCCACCCGTGCCACCCGCCTCCCACATCCCCCCGAGCAGAAGAGTGATGGTGAGTGGGTCAGAAGGATGAGGATGTATGACAAGCACCCTTTAATAGCACTGACTACATTGCTTCTTTCGTCATACCTGGGATAGATAAGGCAGGGGCAGTGTGTGAAAGATGTGGTTGAAGAAACAGAAGCAATTTGGGAAGGTGCACACGAAGTTTTTAAGAGACTGAAAGCACACCCTGTATCTACTCAACCTGGCTCCTTTACTCAACTGTGGTATCCCCCTTGGTGTGTTGCCTGGGCTGACCTAAAGGACTTTCCAGTCTTAAAACACACTATTCCCAGGCAAGCAGAGCTCCCGGTACCCGAGCACTCTGTGTATCCCTCAGAGATGCATCCTGCTTCCAGAGACATTTGAGTTCTCAGACCAGGGAAGTTCATTGCAGTGTAGGTAACGCTGTGATCTTATCATCAGAGGCAGAAAGAGATGAAACGTTGGCCTAGTGAGCACAGGAGTGGCTGATCTGTCGAGGCTCTAGCAAAGTAAATGGGCAGAAAACAGAGCCTGCATGGTGTCACCTATCCCACTCTCAATCGGCTCCCTTATTCCACCAGTATGGAGCATTGACTCACTGGAAGGGGCTTTAATAGGTATTTAGAAGTCTGAAACAGAGACCAACCCTTCACCCACCTACGTGATATCCTTTTTAAAACATGTATGACACTGAGCCAGCTCCCAGACCACTTTAAGATCACGGGATCCTTTGTGCCCCCCTCGCAGGTCCTGCTGCACTCAGCACCCAGAGGTACCTTTGGCACACAAAGAAAATGTACTTGAGTTTCCAAAACAAGTCATTTTGGGAAAGCCTGCACTTACAACATGGCCTTGAGGAGTGGGATATGGCAGAGGAGCTCAAACTCACCAGCACTGAAGAGTTTCTGCAAGGTAAGGACACAGGTATAATTACAGCTGTGCCCTCCAAATGCAGCCTTTCGGGTAAATAAACTCAGAAAGAGGGTGATGGGGGCGAGTTGCGCTCTTCTAGCTTCACAGGGGAAAGAGAAGGTAAAAGTTCAGAGCTGAGCACCGTTGTTTGGGCTGGCCACAGCCATGCAAGAACACGCAGGCATGCACTCTGTACACAAAACAGGAAAGAAAATACTATTTAGAGGGATTAGAAGGCAACTGGGGACCTCTGCCTTGGGATTTGCATTGCAATAGAGCTTCCCCAGGCTGCCTGTGGACAGCAGGTCTAGAAACACTGCTCAGGCAGGACTGGTGGGGTGACCCATCTCCTTCTCCTTTTAGGACGGGGTGTTCAGCCCCATCTGTGGATGTGGGTAAACCCCAGCCTGGCCTGTCCCCTCCCTGGGAGCCCTGGAGCAGACCCAGCCAGATCCGAAAGCCTGGTGGCCTCAGTTGCTGGTGCCACAGAAACCTCCTCTCTGAACACATCCTACTGCTCCGACCTGGACTGCTCCAAGGAGGATGTGCTGTCATCCTCCAGTAAGGCTGGAAAGGTACACGGAAAGCGGCTGCTCGGGCAAGCAGCAACGAGCGGGCTCAGCAGCTCCCGCTCCAGCCACAGTTGGTCAGTGCACGGAGCCCGCCTGATGAACAGGCTCAGAGTGCAAAGTGCAGGGACAGAGGCTGAAATTTAAAGTGTATGAGCTTTCTATAAGCTCTCTCTCAGACCAACCCTGCCTCAGAACAAAGCAGCTTATCCCTGTCCCTCATTCCACCCCGGGCTAATAAATCCATGTTCTTTTCCTCCTTCCTCTCCCCAGCTTACTGAGGATGAAGCTCCTTCATGTATGGACATCCCAGTTCCTCAGGAGATGCCGAAAAGTCCCAAAGTCAGAATGATGCTGGTGCCTTGGAAATCCACAGTCCTCAGTCCTCAGAGCGTGAAGCTCAAGTGCCCCGGGCAGATGAGTGCCAAAATTGAGGGAGGCTGGCCCCGTCCCCCCCTTAATTACAGCATCCTCATCAGCCTCGCCCTGTGCAACAGCACAGGTGGCAGTCTGACTGTACAGCAGATCTACCAGTTCACACGGTACCTACTCTTCTCCCAGCTCCTAGTGCAGAATGAGGGGAAGAAGGACTGTGCGGGTACAGGAGTCTCTGACCTTCCACTGGGGAGCAGGGAGGCGGCAGCCAGGACTCGTGTTTGGGTCTTAGTTCTGCCTTCAGCTCAAGATGCCGCTGAGAAAACTGCCTCCCCTCTTTGGGAACACCCAAACCCGTGTCTCCAGAGCTGGGATTTCAGTTTTATGTCTCCTTAGAAAAGCGCAGCACACGAGTGCACCAGCCAGGCTCCCAGCGCAGGGCTTGGGGAGGACCCTCCTCTCCTTCCCTCCATGTATTCTGTTAGTTATCACAGAACTAGAGGGCTTCAGCCCAGGACAAATCTTTTCTCTCCGCAGGCAGCACTTCCCATTTTTTCAAACGGCCCCAGAGGGCTGGAAAAGCACGATCCGACACAACCTGTGCTTCAGCAGCTGCTTCGAGAAAAGCACTGGCTCCGCACGCGCCAAGGGAAACCACAAGTCCTGCCTGTGGAAACTGACCCCAGGAGGACGCAGGAAGTTTCGGGAGGAAGCACAGGCCCTGACTAAAGAGGCTCTCGACCTGGTGCGCCGAAGTATGAGCAACTCGGGTACGTTTCTGAGGGTGGGAGCCCTCAAACTGCGGCGTGCGTCAGGCTTTATGAGATTCCTGCAGCGGGAGCGCACCCAAATCACTGCGCAGCCACCAGCGCTGCGGAACACTGCTCTGGGAGATGACACCAGACACGGAGATCCCTGCAGAGATGCTCCACAAGCAGGGCTTGGTCATCGGGCTGGCCAAGAACCCAACATAGCGAGACAAGCCAACCAGGCTGCATTCAAACACAGAGCCGTCATCCCAGTACCTGCAATAGCTTGCAGTTTAATACGGGACATGACTGCAGCTGCAGCATCAGTGCCTGAGCAGTTTTTATGGCCCAAGTACCCATCTTAACTTCTTCTCACTTTCTCTTTTGCAGACCTGATGAGCGCTCTGTTTGGTCTATGATTCCTTCTGGCTCCCTACTTCTGAAAGATGTGCCATGTGTTTTCAACCCAAGCTTATTTTCTGAGGTGCTGCCACAGGTAGCTTCCCAAGCCCCACATGTGGAAATTACGAGCATTGTGACATAAGTACCCAAATTTAGAGGGGGAGTGAGAGAGGAAAGATGGCCAATACTTAATTTCCTTCATTAAGGTGAGTTTCTGCCGGCCACACGCATCTCGAGTTGCAGAGGTATTCTGATATGAGGCACCCGCTGTGACTGTAACACAAAGTCCTCAGTGCACACTGCTGCCTCTTGCAACATTCCTGCAGTGCAGAGAACCAAGCTGCAGGAAGAGGTCAATCTGTGCCTTAGCAAAGCATCTCAGGTCAGAGGCACAGAAGGCGTTAGCTGGCTGGCCAGGGGCAGTCCGTACCGTACAGATGTTATTCCAAGCCAGTGTGCCTGCCCGCCCCACTGCAAACCCAGCAGGCAGGGATCCACAGCACTGCTGAGCTGGAGGCTGGCTCCTTGCATCCATGTGCCCACAGGAGCATGGAGGAACAGACACACTAGAAAGGATTTGATCGAGTCTAAATGCACACACCAGGGAGGCAGCTCCTCCCCTGAGCAGCACACAAAGCACCATGCAGGGTAGCTCTGCACTGCTGGGTGCCAATGACACCTGAGCCACTGCAGGAGTGCAGGACGGCTGTGACCACATGTGGCTGCGCAGGTTGTCTGTCTGTCTGCCTGCCTTGGCTGCCCTGGATGGCAGCACCGAGGTAACCTTGCGGCTGCAGTTTGATGCTCTCCTCCCATCAAGCCAGGCTAGAATCACAGAATCAACCAGGTTGGAAAAGACTTTCAAGTTCATAAAGTCCAACTTCTACCCCAGAATTGCCAAGGCCACCGCTAAACCATGTCACTAAGGGCCTCATCTTCATGGTTTTTGAATTAACCCCCTCAGGGCGCAGTCACCCCCCCACTGCCCGGGCCAGCCTGCTCCAATGCTTGGCTCCCCTTTCAGGGAAGAAATTTTCCCGAATATCCAGCCTAAACCTCCCCGAGACCGTGAGTATCCCCTGCCCTTACTAAATACAAACCCCAAACACTTCAGATGCCCTTGGAGGTGCGGATGGGTAGGAAAGCAAAGGCATCAACTGATGGTACCCGACAGACGGTGTCACAAGGCACGTTTCGGAGATGGAGGAAGCGGCTCCAGAGCACGTCTGTGCACGAACTATGGGTGTCCACACCAAGAAACTAAAGCAGCCTGAAGGCAGGAGAGCTTTCGGACAGGACCGGGGACCGAGACACGCACACCCCGCCCAGCCGCGCCTGCGCAGTGCGA